GCCCGGCGCGCAGCCGAGCGGCCGCCATGCGATCAGGCAGTGCGCTGACCGGCCCGGCCGGCCGGCCCCTTCTGGGTCCTCCCTGTGCAGCCCGTGCGGGGCCGTCCCGGAGACCCCGCGCCGACGGCTGCTCAAACATCAGGGTGAGTTTCTCACAATGTAGCAATTTCTCTTTAAATCTCTTAACTCTCTCTACCTGCGAGTCGGGGCTGTGACAGGGCGCAAAAGCGAAGGGGGAGTGGGGGTTGGCGGCGAGGGTGTGTGTGGGGGGAGCCGGAGCCGGGGCCGAACCCACCCCCCCGACACACGCCAGCCCCCCAACCGGGGCGAGCGCCCGCTGCTCACTCGCTCTCTCCTCGCTCTCTCTTTTTTGCTCGGCGCCCACCGCCACAGGCACCCCCACCCCGGATCCTTCCCGCCGCCGCCGCCCCGGTCCTGCGGGGGACCCCCCCCTGTCCCTTGCCCACACCCGGAGCCTGCCCGGCCCTCGCGCCGGCCGCGGGATACAATGGAGCGGCGGGGAGCGGGACCGGCGTCCGCGGGGGGAGGGGCGCCCCCCCGGCCCCCTCCCCGCGCCGCTCCCCGCTCCACTCCCGCCTTCGGGAGAACGAGGCCCGGTCGCAGGCTGCGGGGACTCTGGTCCGGGCGGCAAGCGGTCCTTCGCGTTGCTCGCTCGCCGTCCCCTGCGCCCCCCCAAATGCCCCTCGCGGTGCCGGGAGAAACGGAGCTTCAGCCAGCTGGGGAGGGTAGATGGGGAAGGAGGCCGCCGGGTCCCCTCCCCGCCGCCTCTGAACAATGAAAGGAGTCGACCTGGCCCCGGCCCTGGTTGTAGCAGGAGGTGACCCCCGCCGCGCCCCCGGCCGGCGTGTCCCGGAGGGGCCGTTCCCGAGGGGCCTCACTGCTGTCACCTCCACCCGCCGCCTGGAGATGGGGGCGCCAGGCCCGGGCACCGCGCTCGCCCGCTCGGTGGTGACCTTTAGACAAAGGCAGCACTCCCCGGGGTGAGCCCAGCCCGGCCCGCCCGGTCCGCCGAGGGCACCGGAGGGAGGGACGCGGGCAGGGCAGAGGGAGGCGGCCATCTGGCTTTTCCGTCCCCGGCTGCTGCCACCCCGGCTCCTGTCACATGCGGGAGACCTGGGACCGGTGCTGCCCAGGCCTGGGTGCACGCCAGCCGGGCCGGGCTCCGAGCCGCGGGAGGGCGCGGGCTCGGCTCGGCGCCGGGAGGCGGGTGGCAGGGATTGGAAGGCACCGAGGCTCCTTCCTCTCCGCGCCCCTTTGTTTTGCTTTGTGGTTCTTAGCAGCTGAACCTTCAAAGAGGTGGGGTCAGAGTCCTCCGGGTCAGCTCTCCTGGGGAGGCCAGGGTGACAGGTCCCAGCCCTGTGGTTGCCTCAGCCTGTGGGCTGCGGTGAGTGCCCAGACCTTGGACTAGACCCTCATCCCCTTTTGTCACCTCCTCCATAATGTAATAAAAACCTGGAGATGTAGGAGCGGTTGTATTTCCCTTGCACCTCCTTCTGAGGGCACTTGTTAGGGGAACTGGAGACACTCAGACTCCAGGGCCTGAGATTTAGGATCAGCTCTCTGCTTGCACCTCGTCTGGGCTGGGGGCTCTGTCAACTCTAATCCCCCCCACACACACACACACGGGAAAACTGGAGAGGTGCACAGCTGAGAGACCAACCCTTTTCCATTCCCTGGGGGGTTTCCTGGGGCGTTTACCTCACCCGCCTTTCCTAGACACCCCACCACCCCACAAATGAAAATAACATTGTCTCCCTACCCAGCCAGTGCTGGGGATTGTCCCTTGCTAAGTGTCGTGTGTCCCGGCCACCATCCCAGGAGAAAATGGGGAACAATTATTGTTTCCATTTTCCAGGCTTATTCATCAAGGCCTGGAGAGACTAAGGGCTTCCTTAGGAACACACAGCCCTGGATCAAACTAGACCTCAACTCTGGACCACCTAAGAGTTTCTCTGACCTAGCACAGAACCGTGAGGCTCTCAGTCCCACATTGTGGCACTGTGTTTCTTTGACTTGAGTGGGCCAAGGTCTCTGTATATGCTATGTGGAAGGAGCTGTCAGATGTTTTTATCTGGTTGCTACTTGGGGGAAGGGCAGTGGAGCATCAGGAAGTGACAAGGGGCAGGATCCTTGTCACTAGAGCGGAACCTTTTGCCTGTAGGACCTGAGTTGGAGGTCTGTGAGTCAGGGTGGGGGATCCCAGCCTGGCGGGGTGGGGGCTGGAACGTGCGCCTCCACCGACTTCTCCTCCACCGGAGCACAGTCCTGGCCTGCTTGCAGCCTCCCAGCTCTGCTGAGAGGGAAGCCAAACTCACTGTTGTCCTTGTGGTCATTGTTCCTCAGCCCTTTGGCCCACAGTGGTACCCTGATGCAGCTGGCAGAGGGGTTGCTCTGGGTTTGCTACCCCACCTTGTGACCTTAGGCAGGTCATTTCCCTGGCCAGCTAGATTTTCTCATCTGCACATGGCATAAAATTACAGTTCCTTTAGCTGACCTCGAGGTGGGCTAAAGCATTATTCAGATGTGTAATTTATGGTGTGGTTGGGCAGCTGGGACCTGGATGTCCATGGGCAGGGGTGGGGAGGATTGTGGGGTACTAAGGGGATCATGGAGAAACCTCTGTCCCAGGACTTCCTGTAGTGCGAGGCAGCGCTGTAAACAGCTCCATTCCCGCTCTGGGGTGAAGGGAGAGGGCAGTAAGATGGTGAGGCCATTTTTCGCCTCAACACACTGAGGCCAGAGGAATGTGTCCTGGCCCAGCTGGACTCTGGCCAGGCTGCAGGGGCTGGGGGAGGGGACTCCATATTTGTCCACAGAGCCCTGGAGGTGTTGCCTCATAAGCTCTGATCCCAGGGGCTTTAAGGGGCTCCCTGCTCCTCTGTGACTTGACAGGCATGAGTTATACAACCCTTGGGGTGGGGCATGAAGATGGTAGGTTGAGGCTTCCCAAAAGGAGGAACTGATCTTTGGGGGATGTGGGAAAAGCCTAAGGGCTCTGCTGACTTTTTTCTTAGAGGCCTCCAGGGCCTCCCCCAATCTCTTGGGATGTGGGGTCTGTTCTGAGGGTACTGGGTAGGGAAAGCAGTGTCAGGCCTTGGGGCCCTTGGTGGGGAGTAGAGGACTTGGGTATGAGGAGGGGGTCCTTCGGCTCAGGACCAGCTACCAGCCTCCCCACACCCCCACTCCCCAGGCTGCCTTGACTCCCTGTCTGAAGAATGCAGAGGGCTGCTCTTGGGGGAAGCTAATTGGAAACAGGAAAACATGGCATTCCTTTCTTGGCTGGGCTGGGAGGGAGTGAGGGGCTTCCACTTCCCCTCTCCCACCCTGCAGGGCAAGGGCCTTGGGCAGAGGTCACTTATCTTGTCCTGGCCCTTTGGGGGTCTCCTCCCTGTACCATGCACCTTCATTCTTAGGAGAAATAGGCTGAGCTGCAAACCAAGCATCTGCCCTGCAAACTGTCCCCTCCTCCCCCAGCAGAATGGGTTGTCCTGGCTTCTCCCTTTTGCCTGAGCTCACTCCCCAGCGCTGGCCTAAGATGCACCACACCAGAGCTGCCAGGGAAGCTGTTGGTTGAGTGGTCCCCAGGGGTTCCCTTGGATCCTTCCCTAGCATGCTCCTGTGTCTGCTGCACCCCTATTCGAGTTGTGTCCCGGGTGACTGAACCCTTTGTGTCTTGGTGACATGCAAGTTCCCCCAATGGAGACAGAGCTTTCTAAGGCATTTCTAGTTTGGCAACAATTAGTTCTGTGCGTGAAGTGTATGTGTCTGTGGGGTGAGGGTGGCTGTTGGCGGGGGAAGCAGAGAGTGCCTTTGTTTCTTGCATTGTTCCCAACTCAGCTTCCTCAAGGCCTACTGTGTGCCAGGGCCCTGAGAATCAGCTATGATCTTGGGACCCAGTGGGGCAGGAGAAGGGTGGGGTTTGATTAGTTCTGTCTGGGTGGCCTGAGAGGGCTCCAAGGAGAAAGCCACTTTCTGTCTCTTTTCTGAGTGCTACATGCACATGGGACAAATTCAAGTACGAGAGATAAAAGGTCACTCCTACCCACTCCTACCAGTGCTGGCTACCCAGCCCCCATCTCCAGGGCCAACTCCTCAGTTCTGGGGTTCTGTGTGTGCACATTTATCTGAGGCCGTCCCTGTTCCACAGTCCCTGTTTTACAGATGGTAGCATGCTTTCCTGTTCTGCACCTCCTGTCCCTGGGAGACACTGCAGTTGCATCTTGCATTCTTTTCTTAGCTTTGTGCTATTCCACTGGGGCACAGTTCTCCTTTCCTGTGCTGGATGTGGAGGGCAGAGCAGGAAGCTGATCCCACAACCCCAGGCGGTGGGTTCTCGGGCCGTAGGCTCTGCACAAGGAAGGGCTTGCTGGGTCAGGACCTGGCTCTGAGGCCCCTGTGATGCTGCTGCCACTGGAAAGAAGAAGTTGCCCGCTGTCAGTCTCATCCAACCTGTCTGCCGTGCTTGGGCTCCTGACCTCACAAGTCTTTGCCTCCAGGAATCTCGTGGCCTGCCTCAGGTGCTTGCCACTGGGTTGGAGCTCAGCAGTGTGGGCTCTGTCAGCAGGTTGTTGCGAGGGTTAAATAACACTCCTCAGGTGCGGACAGCCTTATTAGTCAGCAACTGTGGTGTGTGGTGTGACAGTCACTGTTAGGCTGTCCTTTCTCCTGGGCCCTTTTCAGCCCAGGTGGGCTGTGATCCGCCACCCCATGAGTGGGCTGGGTGGGGGGTACAGGCCTTTCCCCATTTACTGCAGTACAACCCTGCACATGTGAGCCCTTGTCTGGGTTTCAGTTTCCTTGTCTGTAGAATGCGCCCACGGTGCCTCCCTCGTGATGGCTGAGGCAGGCAGTGCTGTCCCAAGCTGTGTGTGCTGTGGATTTGAGGCACTACTAAATGCAAGGGGGTGGGGTCAGTGATACAGGGGCTCACTGTGTAGCCCGGGCTGCTGCTGACCTTGCAGCGGACCTCCTGCCTCAGCTCCCCATGTGCTGGGGTTCCATGTCTACACCACCATGCCCGGTGACAGTGCCAGACTTTCCCTGTGATTTACTGTGGCACTGCCACTCTGAAAGCTCAGCATTGTCTTCCCTAGAGCCAGGGTGTGGCATCCTAAGCCTCAGG